TTTTAATTTTATATTTCATGAAACAATTTTCTTTAGAAACAATTAGTAAATAGTTTTAATAGTATAGTAAAAAAACTTTAAAATCTTATAAACAATTGTCGTTGTAATAAGAATAGTAATAGTAGTAATAATAATAATAATAATAATAATAATAATAATAATAATAATAATAGTAATAGTAATAATAATAATAATAATAATAATAATAATAATAATAATAATAATAATAATAATAATGTTTTCAAGTAAATTATTTGACCATGATCCCTCCAAATTATAAAAATTACATTACCCACAATTTTTTTTTATTCATTATATAGAGTGATTCATATGTACTCAAATAATTTATATAAATGTTATTTTATTTTACTAATGATTAAATCTTGAAAATGTGGTATGTCTATTATCTAGAAATTTAATATTAAATTCACATATCTTGAAAATGGGATATGTTTATTATCTAGAATTTTAATATTAAATTCACATATCTTGAAAATGTGATATGTTTATCATCTATAATTTTAATATTAAATTCACACATATTACTTATAATATTTTATGTACATCTGTGCATGTGCACAGGATGATAACTAGTATATATAATTACTAGCTAATTGTATTTAATAAAACCTATTTAATTTTACCTATGTGGCAATTTAACCATTTTCTTCCCAAGAACTGTTACTTTTGATGTATTTAATTTTATATTTAATTATTAAATAATCAGCACTAATCACTTCAAAATTACAAAAAATATTTCAAACTTTTGATTACTGATAGTTGACCATATAATGTGTTGACCGTATAAAATGATTAGATATTATTGTGGTAACATTTAAATTATTTTTTTTTAAATAAAAAACGTATTTGAAGTTCCTAAATAAATAATAAATCATTCACAAAAAAAAACGTGCCAAAATATACATTACATCCAATCAGATAAACGCGATTTAAGAAAATAAATATTTCAACACCTTTAATTGTAAATTTGGCCAGCAAAAATGTGAAAGAAAAATAATTAATCATTATATGCATACAAATAATTCACAATACATTTTTATATCTGTGCAAATGCACATAGTCGAATACTAGTAAAATTGAAAGATGCAATAAGCGTGTGATAGGAAGTGAGAAAACGTTGAAACATATTTTATTGTTTTATGGGCTCGAGTGATTGTGCGGCCTCAAAACGGAACACATCATCATAAGTCATCATCGTCTCATTTACTCTCCAACTCCAAAGAGAAGAAGAGCAGCAATGGTGGCTACCAGCCAGCCAGGTAAGTTTATCCTTTCTTTTTTTCATGAAAATTTAAAATTAGTATTCTTTCTTTGATATTTGACATGATAAATAATCTTCAAAAATTTGTTGTTAAAAAAAAAAAAAATAATAATAATAAAAAAAATCATTGTTTATAATAATGAAAGATTGATAAAGTAGTGGTTAATTTCAGAAATGGGCACAAAGGTGTTGGTGTCTACTTACTGTTGCTCAGCCTCAAACAACAACATTCTTCTTCACCAGTATTCGAGTCGTATTCGTGTTCGTGTTCGTGTTCGTGTTCGTGTTCGTATTGGGGTGCCAACAACAACAACAAGAAGAAGAAGATATAATAATAATGGGTGGCGTCTAACTTGTGATGCTTCTCCTTCACCCCTATTGGAACAGATGCACCACCACCACACACAATCTTTATTTCTGTTGTTGGCAGATACTACTACTGATGCTGGCTACTCCTTGGCCAGTTACTACACTTCATTGGCGCTGTTTGTTATCTCCGTGCCTGGCCTCTGGTCCCTCATCAAGCGTTCTGTCAAATCTAAGGTACTCTTTTCTCAAATTTTGATAGTCGGGGCATCAGGGGCGCACTCCCACGCAGTGCAGCATACCGTAAGAGGGTGAGCCTAGTTGTATCTTAGTGAGGTTTCATCCCAAAATCAAAACTTGGTGATGGTGATAGGAGTAGCCCAATTTTCCTTGTAGAATCAATGTGGGACGACTCACAAGTGATATTCCAGCGTCTTTTGCTCTATTCTAAAATTTCATTTCTCGCTTTCTCATTGTGCTGTTACATCAATCAGGTTGTGCAAAAGACCTTTATAGGAGAGGGAGAGAAGAAGGCGCCTAACCAGGTGGCCGGAGAAATACTTTCGTTTTTTACACGAAATAATTTTGCAGTGTCGGACAGAGGAGAGACAATAACGTACGTGAGCCACTAATTTAATTGCTTGTTTTAATTGTTTGAGACGAAGCTATAAGTTGTTTTTGGGTACTACAAGCAAAATTATGAGGCAAGCTAATGAGTTGGTTGTATGGTGGAAGTCACAATTAAAACCCAAATGGTCTGATTTGCATCTAATTTGAAGTGGAAAACAGATATATAACTGAATGCTTGTTTGTTATTAGAAAATGAATTAACATAATGTTTGCAGATTTGAAGGTATGATGGTACCAAGCCGGGGTCAAGCAGCACTGCTTACTTTCTGCACGTGCATAAGCCTTGCAAGCGTTGCCCTTGTTCTCACCATAACTTACCCAGACGTAGGGAACAACTGGTTCTGGCTAACCGTATTAAGTCCCCTGGCGTAAGTACTAACTACCGTTATCTTTTATTGATTAATTTTCATTACCAATATTCAAACTCAAATGATCTCCATTCCACAAAACAGAGGAGTGTATTATTGGACCAAGGCTTCACGAAAGGAGCAGATTAAGGTGAGGATGCTGGTGGGTGAAGACGGCACCCTATCCGAAGTTATTGTTCAAGGGGACGACCAACAGGTCGACCAAATGAGGAAGGAGCTTCAACTTAGTGAAAAGGGCATGGTCTATGTGAAGGGTATTTTTGAGAGATAACAAACATTATTTTTCAACCTCCCAACCAATTTGATGTGTTTGAAATTGTGTTCAAACTACTTAATCTGCCCCAATACTACTTCAGCTAATGCCATGTTCCTCATCCATCCACCCAGTTGCTCATTTACTCATTCATTTCCATACACGCACGCGCGCACACACACAGGGTATATATATTGGGGTTGATCAAATGAGTTCACTTTAAACACGAGACTCAATCTTAGCCATCAATTTTGTGTAAATCAATGACTTATATTAATCAATTAAATTAAAAAAAATATTATTATATTTATATTAATTATATAATAAAAAAACAACTCAATGGCGTTTTCCCGCCGTTTACCGGCCGGCAACAACCGTTGACCGTCGGCCAAGGAAAATTTTTGGTCGGTCAGCCCCGTCGACCAGACCCAATACTACTGATGTTCCTCATCCATCCATCCAGTTGCTCATTTACTCGTTCATTTTCTCACACACACACTGTAACACCTCAATTTGATTTTAAAGAAATTCCAGACTTTTCAAAAACCAGTATAAAATTTTTTTGAACTCATTTTCGAAAATATGGGCGTTATACAACATTAAACATCAACCAAGTCGTATCTGGTTGTTCACATGGTTTTCATTAACCTTTTAAAATTCAATTCCACATGATTATTAGCTAAACCACATAGCATGCATAATCGAAAACACATGATATTCAATAAATAACTCTCATACGAATATCAAACAAAGAGTCCAAAAATCCCGACACGGACAAGTTTGAAAACAGTTCAATACGTCTCAAGGACCACACTTTATTCATTACGGAAGCATAATCATAAAACATAAATCAAGACTGACCCACTCGTCTTTCGCCCGTCATCCGGCACCTGCTTAACCTGCATCCGCGAAGAGCAGGTGGGAGTGAGTACAAAATGAACGTAGTGCTCACTACTATGCACATAAATACCACATGTCAAATGGTATGGTCACAACATGAATATAAGATAATCACACCATGTCTGATCTCCTATCAAAATCACAACAACCACATTACTCCTGTGCACATCTATCGGTAGCCGCAGAACGGGGATTCATTACCCGAAGCCGGGAGTACATGCCACGCTACGGACACGACCTTCCATATGGGCTTACGTACCTCGCAAGGGCACATCCATATCAGGACTTAAGTAGACTTGCCTCGCAAGGGCAACCGTATTACATCGACGGGGACAACCGTACCGACGGCCGTAACAGCTCACATCGATAGGCTACATATTTCATGTTCATACATAGATCATACCCATAAGAAATAAACATTCATCATTCATGGCATAAGCAATTTTAGATTAGAACCCACCTGGTACCGCAAAGGAAAGTGACACAAAATCAGGAGTAGGCAGCGAGCACAGCTCGTCAAACACCTACAACAATTAATATACTAAGATCAAAACCTATTTGACCTTAGAGAACAATCACAAGCATACATTGGTCGAACTTGATTCAACCAAGTAGTTCGTGAAGTTCCGTGGACATTGGAACACTTGGACTTAACACTTAACTTGACAAAAAATGCATTTAAACACCACACATGGACTTGGTACGCAAAACAAAGTCAAACGGGGCAAAACACACACAAGGGTCCGGAAAAAATGTAAAGAAGGCTCGGGACAGGCCCCGGGCTGCTTGCTGACCCGGCGGGGCATGGCTGGGCGCAGCCGGGCGCGCACGGGCGCTGCGCTGGGGCGCTGGCAGCAATGCACGGCCCGGCAGACCGGCAGTGAAACAAATGAACCCGACGTTTTTAAAATGCACTCGACCGTTTGACTTAAAATTTTTACACATAAAAATACATTCATAATGGCACGTTTTCACTAAGTTTCAGCCTCAAGACTTAAGTTTAACCTGAGCAACCAATTTTTACAAAAAGGCGATGCAAATCTGAATTTTCTAGTTCTCCGGGCGATGCTTTGAATTTTTCAACGAAATTTGGACACAGCGCATATAACATCAGATTAGTAACACTCACCAAAAATCACAGCAAAATACCAAGAATTCGATTTTTAATGATTTTTCGAAGTTTCAGCCTAGAATTTCAAATCGACATTTGACATAGCTACAGACCTTATTTTAACTTCAAATATTTACACCACATATTATACTAACAGAGGGTTATACAGTCCAAATTTTGTAGCAATCGGACAAATACACAATTTATAAAGATTTTTCAAAGATTCCGCAGCAATACCCGATTCAAAAATGCATAAGAGACTAATTACTCAACAAAACATCTAAGGCCTTCACCATGAGGCCAAAGACTTCAAATGTTCCAATAATCCACAGCCCTAATCACGGTTTATGCACAATTCACATGCTTTTACAAATAACGAACATAATACGCAATTAATCGATCATAATTCGAACCCTAACATACAAATTCATACAAGGTTTAACACATATATCACAAACACATATAAAATAAGGGGGTTATCAGCCTTGTACCATTCTCGGGGAATTTGAACGAAACGAGGGTCGAATGGAGGTCGAGAAGGGCTGCGAGCGCGCGGGGAAAGGCCTGCGCACGATCGTTGGGCTCTGGGAGGGCCTGCGCGCTTCGCGGGGACGCTGGACAGCGACGGGGAGCACGAACAGCAATGGCCTGGAACGCACGAATGGCTGCTACACGCGAACGGGGTCGTGATGAGGAGCAGGTCGATGGAGGCGACAGTTTGGGGAAAGAAGAGAAAAAGAAAAAGAGGAGTAGAGAGGGAGGAAAGAAAAAGGCTGCGGGAATAGAATTATGACGAGGAAGGGAGTCCAATCTCTCCTCTTTATAGGGCTAGGTCTTTGACCACATAGCTTAGTCAACAAGCTATCCAAGTGAAAGAGATTAATTAAGGGAGGGAGAGTAATTAAGGGACCAAATCAATTCTCAATTAATTGGTCAAAGCCTTAATTTCACTTTAATGGCTAATGATGAGTAAATAAAGATGGCAAGTAATTCTTGAAATTCAAACATCACTAGCTTGCATAAGAAATACACCAACGGTTGGTTCGGGCGGTTCAATTGAAAATCTCAGTTATGCTCGACGTCGATGATCCGGTTAAATGGATAAATAATTCGGCTCGGATCGATGAAAATTAAATTAAATATATTTAATAATTATATAAAATATTCACGATTAGTATTTATTATAAATACACATAAGGCACATAAATTTCACTTAGGCAATTAGACAATTAAATATAAAGCAACAAATATTGATATTAATGGCAACAATAATAATAACAACAAAAATAATAATAAAAATCTATTTATTCATGAACGAACGGGGCATTACACACACATAGGATATATATAGGGATTAGTTTCAATGCATCCCTTTATTTAAAGTGAGGACGTGAGACTCATTCCTAGCCACAAGATTTGGTACATCATGTGTGGCTAAGATTTACTTTTTTCTTTTTATTATTTTAATTATTTCAAAATTATTTTGACCCGTTGACTCCGGCGTTGACCGTTGACTTCCGACGTTGACCGTTGACTTCTGGCGTTGACCGTTGACTCCGACGTTGACCGTTGACAACTAACCTTCCAATTAGATTAGTTCTCTGTAGTTGCTAGATTAGTTTTATGTAGTTGCTAGGTTTTTTTTTTTAAAAAAAAAAATTAAAAAAAAAAATAAAAGACGGGCCCAAATATCAAACCACTACAGTCAACATAGTCTCACAATCAATAGGAAGGCAAAAACAGAAAAAGAAAAGGAAAGGAAATAATACAAGGTCTGTCATCGGACAGGTGCCCGGAATAAATGTATGATCAGAGGAGAGCAAAAACTAGTCTACTAAAACCGGATAGATGGGTATCCAAGCTGGTCCATCCGTACCAGCGTGCGAAGACGGAGTGGAGCAGTGGTTTCGGTCTGATACGTGTGTAGGTCCGGTGTGGTGGCACCAAGGCTGGCAAGATAGTCAGCAGGTCTGTTCCCCTCACGGAAGATGTGCGTAATCCTGTGATGGACAGACCGTAGGAGAGCTCTAATGCGCATAAGCGGGTGCTGAATTTGCCACGAGCCCTGGTGGCCCGAGGTCAGGATGGTGACGACCGCCGCAGCGTCCAGTTCGATCCAAATATGACTAGAGAGGTGGGCAGCGAGATGAAGGCCAATCTGTAGAGCCTGAATCTCTGCATCGTAGCTCGAGGAGGCCTGAAGGGACGTGTGGAAGGCGGTGATAAGAGCGCCGCTGTGGTCCCGGATCAAACCTCCTCCTTCGGCAACTCCGGTCTGGCGATCAAAAGAGCTATCAGTGTTCAGCTTGACCCAAGGGGAGTCAGGTCGAAGCCAAACGACAGCTCTGGGCTGAGGAGGCCGAACAGGCGCAAGGGGAGCTACCAAGTAGCGGTGTGGTGGCGTGCAGCCTGTCCAGTCTCTGGCAGTGAGCCTGCCCAATGATGTGAGGATTGAAAGATGTCTCTGTACCTGCAAAACAATGTGAGATCGCAAAAAAGTAATATCCCTATGGTTCGCACTATTCCTTTCCGTCCAGGTGAACCGAAGGATCAGACAAGGAATGAGGAAGCCCACGTGTGTAAAGTGTGTGCTCTGTGAGAAAAAACTCAGGAGCTCAAAGAAACTGTCTGTGGTGGGTAGGGATATATGAGTCCAAGTGGCAAAGTGCTCCCACACTCTCCTCACAATCTCACTCTCTAGAAAAAGATGGGTAAAGGTCTCGGTCTCATGACGTCCGGTCTCAGAACAACACACACACCGGGAGGGGAAGGAGAACCCCCTCGCATGTAAAACAGTGTGTAACGCCCCGTATTTTATTAATAAAGAAAAATACTAGCTTTTAGTTTAAAGCTAGCCTTTGTTAATGAATAATCATGTTCATGTTCAAGTTCGAGTTAATCAGCTAGTCATATTCCAAGTTCGACTATTAGTCGATAAATTATTCAGTTTAATTATTTAAGTAACCGAATAAGTTTCCAGATTTAATTTCGATTTGTTTATTTAATT